CCGCGCGGCCCCGGGCGGGGTCCCGGGAGCCGGCTCAGCCCAGGGCCTCACGTGGCCGAGAGGGTGGGAGCAGCGTTATTGTGTAACCCGAGGGGCGGCCTGCGGGGGAGGGGTGGCGCTGTGAGGCGGCGGGAGCCCCCCAGTGCCGCGGGCGGGCGACGCCCCAGCGGGACGGGAATTCCGGAGAGCCGCTCTGTTCCAGGCCCCCCGACGGAGAATGGCCACCTCCCGCTACGAGCCGGTGGCCGAGATTGGTGTCGGTGCCTACGGGACAGTGTACAAGGCCCGCGATCCTCACAGTGGCCACTTCGTGGCCCTCAAGAGCGTGAGAGTCCCCAACGGGGACGGTGGCGGAGGGGGCCTTCCCATCAGCACCGTGCGGGAGGTTGCGCTGCTGAGGCGGCTGGAGGCCTTTGAGCACCCTAACGTTGTCCGGTGAGAACAGGACTGTTGGGAGTGGCGAGGGTGGTCAGGAGCTCAGTGGACTCTGAGGAAACTGGGAAGGCCACATCGGGTCAGAGGGGACGGTCAGCGAGTAACCGTTTGTTCTGGCCAGGCTGATGGACGTCTGTGCCACCGCCCGGACCGACCGAGAGACCAAAGTGACCTTGGTGTTTGAACATGTGGACCAGGACCTGAGGACGTATCTGGACAAGGCTCCCCCGCCCGGCTTGCCCGTGGAGACCATTAAGGTGAGTGGTGGGCGTGACCGGGGTGGGGGCCTCCGTAGAGAAGTCTGCGGGCCCTCAGGTAAGGCGTGTAGCCCCCACTGCCTCTGCACCCCCTGTCCACCCAGGATCTGATGTGCCAGTTCCTAAGAGGCCTCGATTTCCTTCACGCCAACTGCATCGTTCACCGGGACCTGAAGCCAGAGAACATTCTGGTGACAAGCAGTGGGACAGTGAAGCTGGCTGACTTTGGCCTAGCAAGAATCTACAGCTACCAGATGGCACTTACGCCAGTGGTCAGTGGAGCCGGGGGCCAGCTGGTCCTGAGGGTGGCAGCGTGGCGAGCAGTTAGAAGGCGCGCGGTCAGCGTCACACAGTGAGGCCCTCACCCACTCCCCTCGTTCCGGGTAGGTCGTCACACTCTGGTACCGGGCGCCCGAGGTCCTCCTGCAGTCTACATACGCGACACCTGTGGACATGTGGAGCGTTGGCTGTATCTTTGCAGAGATGTTTCGCCGAAAGTAGGGGGCCCACGTTTCTGAAATACCTTGGCTTCTCAAATGTCTTACTGTAGACCGTGTCACACCCCTCCGTTCTTAATTTTCTTTTTAAAAAAGATTTATTCATGTAAGAACTGGGGTGCAGGCCAGGGGGTGGGGGTGAGAAGACTCACCAGAGACAACGGGGAGCAGAGCAGGCGGATCTACTGAAATACGCTGCTGGGGAGCAGCCGGGAGGCAGGAGGGGTCTGCCGCGCCCTGGGGGTCCCTCCCTGGCCGGGGATGGAACTCAGGCTGCAGCAGCTGCGGACAGCTGCACAGTGCTGAGGCTCAACCCCTGTGCCACCAGGGAAACACCCCCCGTCCCCCCCCCCATTCTTTCACTGGAGTTCTGTGTCCCATCTTGTCCACATCAGCAGCTCTGAAGTGGGGGACTAGGACACCCTAACCCCTTTACTGCCCGCATCCTGCCTTGGGCCACCAAGGAATACTCATTCTACTGCCGCATCTTTGAAATGACCACTACCTGTGTCCTTCTGTGACTTAGGCCTCTCTTCTGTGGAAACTCTGAAGCTGACCAGTTGGGCAGGATCTTTGAGTAAGTGCTTGGGGGATTTTCCCTCCCTGGCCTCGCTGCTGAGCCTGGATAACAAGTGGCTCCGTCCCCAGAGAGGGCGCTGGTGGGTCTGACCAGGGTCCTGTCCCCACAGCCTGATTGGGCTGCCGCCAGACGAAGACTGGCCCCGAGACGTGTCTCTTCCCCGAGGAGCCTTCCCCCCCCGGGGGCCCCGCCCTGTACAGTCCGAGGTGCCTGAGCTGGAGGAGGCCGGAGCGCAGCTGCTGCTGGTACCGGACAGGCCAGGCCGGGGTGGGGGTCCGCGGAGGGTGGGTCAGGCCATCGTGGCTGCCCGAGCCGGTTTGCACTGCTGCTGTCTAGGGCCATTTGGAAAGAGGGAGGACGGGAAGCCCTCCCAGGTCGGGGTGAGCCGGGTCCCCGAGGTTCCCGACCCTTGCCTCCCCTCCAGGAGATGCTGACTTTCAACCCCCACAAGCGGATCTCTGCCTTCCGGGCCCTGCAGCACTGTTACCTACGGAAAGAAGGTGACCCGGAGTGAGCAGGGGCGTGGCCGCGCTGGACCCGGGAAGCCGTCCTCCTAGTGAACACCGGGTGGAGACCCCGAGGCATCTCCGCTCTGACCTCTCAGGCTGTGGAGACTGACCCCAAGTTTTCCCAGAGAATACTCTGCTGCCTTAATGACATTCCCCTCCCATCCTCCTGGGGTCACGCGTCTCCCTGTTTCCTCACCCCAAGGGGTGTGCTCCTTGTCCCCCCCTTCTGCACCTTGATATTGGGCTCCTTTTTTTATACAGGAAAAACAACAAAAATAAGGTCAATTTTTTAAAAAATGGTTCCTCTGATTGATCTTGCCACTGGGATTCGGAAAAGCCCTTTACGCTGGCCCTCCCTCCGCAGACCCAGACTCGGTCTCGGGCTCCGCGCAGCCCTCAGCTGGCCAGAGAAGAAAGGCGCCTCAGCTGTCCCTTTGACTGTGGAGTTAAAATGGCTTTTATTTTATATTCGCTGAACTTCCCCAAACTGGGCCCTGCTCGTACCAGAGCTCCTCGTGGCTTGCTCCCTGGCCCCGCCTACCCCTGGAGCGAGCCAGGGTGTGTCCAGCTGGCCCAGGAGGACGGAGGGGAGCGGAGACAGCTGGGAACGCTGCCCGCCCTCACCCCATCTCGGGTGCTCCCACCCACGGAGGGGAGAAGGGAGGCTTCCCGTGCTCCTGTGGGCTTGTTCCCAGACACGTGCCGAGGCGTGAAGCCTGGCTCCTTGGTCACCTTCAGGGCCTCTGGCAAAGGGCCTTTTCCTTTTCCTCAGACAGGGTTCAAGACCCAGGGTTTTCCCCAAGGGAAGAAAAGGCCTAGGGGAGCGGTCGGACAGTCCAGAGTCTCATAGGAAGGCACTGGGGTTGGCCCGGGGATCCTTCTGATTCCGGAATCTCACTGCTAGCCAGACGCCCAGGATCTGTAGGAATAAGAGCGGGGCGTGAGCACCAAGCCCGAGCCTCGGCTCCGACGCAGCCCTGGGGACTGGGACGTTACCTCTGTGAAGCTGAAGAAGAGTCCGACACCCCCCAGGATTTTCAGGGCTTCGTCCGAATGCTTGAGAAACTTTTCTCCACATAACTGGCAGGTGTTCCCCTTCATGCAGCTCTGAGGGCGAGAGCAGCCCTAGGGTCCCTCGGTCTTGAGAGGGTCCCACCCACTGGACCCCATCGGCCAGTTCTGTGGCCTCATCACCCCATAGGCGGCCACGTGCAGACTCCAAGGTGCCAGCGTCAGCGTTACCCTCACCCGGTCTAGCCCCCACTCACGGCGGCACAGGAGGGCAGCTCTTGTTGGTACAAGGTGGTGAGGTTGAACAGGCCGCAGCAGTCGAGGCTTCGCTCCAGATCGTGCCGGGTCTTGTTGCTCATGACCCACCAGGAAGCATTGATGACGTCTGCCTGGGGTACGGGCAGAGTTAGTGGGTGCTGCCGCCTCAGCCCCCTAATCCGGGTCAGTTCCAGCGCATCATCTTTTTATTTTTTCCAGCAGAGGAAATCGGCATTCCTCCGAAGCCACGGCAGACACAGGCAGGATGGGGCAGGTCCGCCTCCTGGGGTACCCAGGGCATCATGGCTAGCCGACGCCCCCAGGCAGCGAGCCGCTGGAGTCGGGGCAACTGACCTCTGAGAATGATGTCAGGGCCAGAGGGGAGGAAATTAAAGGCCAGAGGGCGGAGCGCCCCTCAAAGGCATGCCTTACCTGCTTGCTTCGGTTAATAGCCAGACAGGAGCAGGAGATCCCAAACTGGAAAACGAAGACCAAGCCGAGGATGATCATGTACTGGGAGGCTTGAGTCAGGGCCAACACGGGCTTCCTTGGGCCCCGCAGACGCCCGCCGCCTAGAACCCACAGCCGTGGCCGAGAGGAGCCCAAGCCCCTGCCTCACAGAGGCGGGGCGCGTCCCGGGGGTCCCCGGGGCCTCTGTCATTCCTAGACCCAGCCCTGGGCGGCCCCAGGGCCCCGCGCCCGCATCGGGTCAGGATACAAAGAAGAGCAGCACTTGGTGGTGGTTGACGGCTCCCACCAGCCCGGCCACGGCGATGAGGAGAAGGAAGACGCCCACGGCGATGACCCCTCCGATGATGCGGATGCTGGACACCAGGCCCAGGCCGGTCCCCCACGCGGCCACTCCGATGAGCAGCAGGCCTACCAGCTGTGGGAAGCGGGGTGCGGGCGGGGCCCTGCAGCTCGGCCGAAGGCCACAAGGGGAGCTGGGCCCAACAACCGATGGCCTGCGGCCGGCGCAGAGGGGGCTGTCACCAGGGCAGCGGCGTCGCGCGGCCCCC